TTAGTTAGTTAGTTAGTTAGTTATACTAAAATATATTATGTTTAACGTGAAATTCAATTTCAGACTTCAATAAATTTGAGTATGTTTCCCTTTTAGTGGCGACTGAACCATTCGCGAGGCCCTGGCTGACAGAGATTAGCGAGGACCCATAAGAAGAAAATACACTAAAGACATTTTTAGTGTTCTCAAGCATTGTAGCTCTCTAGCTAATACTGACACACGATTCAAGTAAGTCTCTCTTCTTTTAGTCGCAAATCCTTATCACTGGTAATTACTGAATTAACACCAGAGTTTAATAGTGACAATGTGACCCAACAGTACACAGTCTGCCGTCAAAAACATCTTTTCATGGAAGGCATTTAAAAATTGCTCATTCTCCTCAGGCTTTTAACAAAAATTTCCTCAATTTGTACTTCATTATTTTTGGTCTTAAAAAGTACGGCAACAATTAAAGAGAACAGCAAATCCGGCGCGAGGCCCTGGGCGTCCCCCCCTCCCCCCCGCTGCTTCCATCATTTCTTTCGCATTGTTTACGATTAATTTTCATCAACAATCACAACAATACCAGTAACACGTGCAGTTGCGAATATAACAGTGCAACAGAAAAGAGCATTGTTGCTTTCGAAACAGGAATTGAATTGTTTCGTCTCCAGTGTTACATAAATAAACAAGTATTAGTGACGAAAATGGCAGGATTTGTGTTGGAGAAAATGTTTCTGCTTGCAAGACGAATTATTCATGGCTTCAAATCTATTTTTTGGCAACTACCAAGCGGAATGATCGCGGACAGCAGTGATGGATACAAATCCGAAGAATGGTCGCTGCCAGTCGTAATTTGTGTGGAAGAGGTTAGTCACTATAAAACATTCCAGAAAAGGAAGAATCCATGCCGCAAAACACATAGTTACACATGTTTCGAAATTTTGTAATTGAATGTCTGTAGACCACAACACATGATATATTATGAGTATTACATTAAACTTTTCCATTGTTCATAAACGACGCAAAAAATGATGCGTCTGTTTTTAGCACAATAAAATGGAGGCATTTGTAATCTAGTTTACGTGTTTTCTGCAGTGGCCATTAAAATGCATAAATATGCGTTTTAAATGTTTCTTTTTTTCTTGACTAACTCATTCGTGTGTCGGAAACATATTAGCATGGACACATATGACTTCAACTTATTACATACTGATAATTGAATGCAAAATATAGCATACTTGTCGAAATACCTCCTTACCTGTTAAATTCAAAGAAGGATTATTCACAACAGAAAGCGTCTATGTTACGAAATAAAGTATAGATCTTTGTAAAATGAAATTCAAAGCACCAGACTACTTTTTCATAGACATCTGTTCCTACACGTTCCCTAGCCGCTCTTAATTATTTCCGGAAGCATCCTCGCTGCTCTGTTTGTTTTTGCGTATGTAACAGAATAACGATTTGAATATTGAAAAATATTTTTGCAAAACGTTAATAAACGTCGTAATACTTATTTTGAAATTCTTATCACAACAGTAAGATTTCACGTTCCCACAGCGGTGAGCATAATGATTACATCAACCTGATATATTACACAGCGAACTTATCGCTCTGATATAAACACCTCTAAAACGTCGCTAAACTTCTACGTTCCTACACGGCGCAGTACCCCAGAATATTGTCATCTTCACTCTCGCTACAATGCTCCTATTCCCGAAGTGGTTTGCCATTGCCTTCTTCTGTGTGTGAATGGAGTAATTGTTGGGATGCCACGGAGAAACCGGGGAAGCCCCCGGAGGAAAACTCCGTGTTGCCTAGACCACGGCCTTGCCCAACACAAGTTATAAATTCGGGCACCGCCGGGAATCGAACCCGAGACCCTAGGATTACAAGAGTATTCTGTATAACTGAATATTGTTTTTAAATTTCAATAGCGTCCGTCTAGAATTCCTTCCACATGAAATGCATGTCACTTTTCGGTAATAATATGATACCCGGCCACAACGTCTTCTTCCTCGGGGTTCGTAGTGCTCACCAGGTGAACCAGAATAATTAGCTGTACGAAGTCATTCTCCGACGTTATATAATTACCGAGACGTGCACAGGCTGACATATCGGGTTTCATACAACAAGAGGCAAGCTCAGTCGATGCGAATTGAGGCACAGCCTGACATTGTCAGCGCAACTCTTGAATCTAGAATTATACGTTGCTGAAGAGACAAAGCTGTTATGACCAAGATAGTCCACACGGTGGCAAATTACTCCTGCAAAAATATTAATCTTTGTCACAATTGAGATCTTTGCTACATACCAATAAGTATAGATATTATCGTGTTTACTTGAAAACTAAATCCATAATTTTTCTGAACTATTTGCTTAAGCATTTAACAAATTCAGATTATGAAGATGGGAAATAATCAGTTGTAGGATTTTCTCAGCATCGAAATTAAGTTCATATTTTAGTATACGCAGATGAGTTGTGTTGTGTCCGGTGAATAATATGGTGAGTGTTCAAGAAAGGCCTAGTAACATAGTTTATTAGGTTTTTAATACCTCCACATGCTTTTCGAGAATAGATTTTCGTAATGAATCTGAAGCTTGGGCAGTCCTTTCCTGCATTACCTCGTTCACATAATGGAACCTAGAGACATTGAATTCCAAACCCTGAAGTATGGCTTCATCATGTTCCGTTGGCTCCATCTTAGGGCTGTAACAAAAGGGCATTGAGGCACATTCATAATTAGGAAAATTTACATTCTGTTATATTTACCCGCAGAAGTTCATTTAAAAAAAACATGCAACTTTCAGAACACAGACTGTTCTATGGGACATCAATAATTTTTATTAATCCATAAAATATGATTTAGTAAATTTCTTACCTTAGTTCATACTGTCTTTGCTCTTCTGTTTTCATCACCTGGGATATCTGTAAAAAAACAAAACATTCTCAATACGTCATGACTTTAATTTGTTTTACAGCGTGTGATTGCGAGCTGTCTCTCCTGCAGTGGTGTTAAATGGGATATGAGGGTCATCGCAAATAGTCCGTTATGCGAGATGCAAAGACAGAAATGGCCTTGAGGGCAGTCTCTTTATGACCTTTGGGAAATTATTCACAAATTCATTGTCCATAAGTTTTTGTCATTGGCGTTAATATAAACTTTGTTGATACACATTGTGATTTAAGAATTTGTATCAATTTTTTTCTGATTCAATTTCCAGTCAGAAACATTCGGTCTTTACTGATTGCATTCTTAGTGGTTATAAAGTTACGAATATGTGAATTTCAAGAATGATTGGTATTTAGGTAAAATTATATACTGCGTGTTCAGAACACACAGTAAAATTGAATTAGGAAAATGTGAATGTGGCTTAGCTTTCCTTCCTCGATTCCACTACACAATTCACATAATATAATAAATATAATTCTAACTACCGACAACAGTGCTGTTGAATGCTGAAAGTATTAGACATGTACGTACACTTTTTAATGCAACACACATACAGATTCCTTAAAGACAGCTGCCTTTGGAATGTTCGGTTACTGTTACAGAGCTTGAAGGTGTGAAATATTTGTAGTTTGCAGATTAATGCCATGCTTTGTCTCAGGCAACTAATCGCTTGCATACTGTCAAAATATAGTGAATGAGTTTTATTAAGTTTCGATTGCATTATAATTACATCTATGGACCCCACGGTTGAGGTTACTTAAGAATGACATATCATACATGCAAGAAAGTTTGATATTACATTATTCAAATTCTGTGTTACTGAAAAAAATCATAATGCTCCTAACAAATACTGATAGCAAAGTGAAAAATAGAGCATAAACAATGTATGATTATGCCAACAGCTACAGTCTGGGAAGGAAAACGGGACATCAATTTCTAATATTGCTGCTGAAGGTGCATCAATAATGGAGGAGGGTCAATTTTATACCTATGTATGCAGGGATTCACAATCCTTCACCACGTCGGATCTTTGCCACACACCAGTGAGTACAGATATTATCAAGTTTACTTGAAAAGTGAATCCATCATTTTTCTGAACTCTTTGCTTAGTGAATCTGCATGTGTGTTGCATTCAAAAGCGTACGTACATGTCTAATACATTCAGTCTTCAACAGCACTGTTGTCAGCAGTTAAACGTTTATTTGTGATTGATGAATTGTGTAGTGGAATCGAGGAAGGAGAGCTAAGCCACATTCAAATTTTGCTAATTTAATGTCACTGTGTTTTCTGAGCACACAGTATATCATTTTTCTGTAGTTTACTTTTTTAAGTTCTAACGTAATAAGGCTATCAGCATAACACGTGGTCATCTTACGCTACGTTATGTACCTGTAACAACAAATGACATGATTGATCGAAGATCTATCAAATAAAATTTCTCAAAACAAGTCGCTTTAAGAAAAGTAAGATATAATAAAGTTCATGGCCTTTCTTTGGAGTAATATATTTCTCTACAATTTACACAATACGGAGTGAATAATTTTACATTCATTCATTTATCGTCACTTGTAAAACCTCATGGAACTCTTGAAAATTAGAAAAATAGAAGATACGATTATTTCTTGTTAAACTGTGTTGTTCTGTTGGCAGTCAACTAATCCCTATCTCCGGAGATAGGGATTAGCTCTATCTAGTGGGCCCAACTGTGCAGGAACCTGAGACGGAGATGGAGTCCCACCTCCGAAACGTCGTTTTACGTTTTTTATTTTATATTTTACTAGACGATGAACAATATCCAAGGAAACTTTTATTCAAATGACTCTTCACCATCGTCAAGAAGTTTTAGATTTGATGTAAATGGTTGTATTCAAGTTCTTGAGGATTACAAATTCCGTAGAAAAATGAGTATCCATGCTGACTGTGGATACTTGAAACATGTTATAAAATCAATTGCAAATTGTAAGAACTTGTTTAATAAGACAGCTTACTTATGTAACAATAATTCTTGAATTTCACGTACTCACAACTTTATAGCCACTAATAATACTACCCATTGTGATAGAATGTTTCTGACTGGAATTTCCCTCAGGAAAAATTGATACAAATTCTTGAATCACATTGTGTATAAACAATATTTATATTAACACCAATGACAAATATTGATGGACAATGAATTTGTGAATAATTTGCCAAAGGTCATAAAGAGAATGCCACCTAGGCCATTTCTGACTTTTCATCTCGCATACTGGACTACTTATGACTACCCTAATATCCCATTTAACACCCTGCAGGAGAGACAGCTCACACTTAAAAGCTGTAAAATAATTTAAGGTCATGACGTATTGAAATTGTTTTGTTTTGTTGCAGGGATACCAGGTGATGAAAACACAAGGACAAGGACATCATGTACTACGGTAAGAAATATACTAATCATGTTTTATGGATCAATAAAATTTATTGTTATGCTATAGGACAATCTGTGTTCTGAAAGTTGCATGTTTTTCCTAAATCGACTTCTACGGGTAAATATCACAGAATGGAAATTATCCTGATTATGAATGAGTGTCAATGCGCTATTAGGTTGAAAGTTGTTCTACGCAACATGTTTTATAATTTCAATCTGAATTTTTATTAATATACTACTACAAAGGCCGCCACGGTGGTCTAGCGGTCAGAACACTAGCCTTGTATTCATGGGGTCCTGGGTTCAATTCCCGGTGGTGCTCAGATTTATAACTTGTGTTGGGCAAGGCCGTGGTCTAGGCATCACGGAGTTTTCCTCCGGGGGCTTCCCCGGTTTCTCCGTGGCATCCCAACAATTACTCCATTCACACACAGAAGAAGGCAATGGCAAACCACTTCTGATCATCTGCCAAGAATGTATATATATGTATGAGCAGGTCCCTGACAACCTGAAGAGGATGGAAGGATCCTGTTCATAATATATGGACCTGTCGTCAGACAGAACACTAATAAATAATAAACTACTACATGCTTTCACCTTAACAGGTCATCTTCAAGTGGTTCCATTTAAGCGGTAAAAAATAGTAGTTTTAAAAGCTAAATTGTATACGGATTTCAGTCAGATAATATTCCGTTTGCCACATTGACAAACACTGAGACCATAATAAGAAACTTGTTCTGTAGACGGTCTGCCAACCTAAATATTATTGTGTAAAAGAATGCTTTCCTTTAAACTTGTGTCAATATTATTTTGTTACAGACCTGAGTTTGCACCAGCAATAGTCAGTGTACACAACCCTCAAGTTTTGCAATCGAGACAATGCGCATATTAGGAGTGGAGCAGAGATGTACTGCCTTGGCTTCAGTATCAGTTACAAAATCTATTCTGAAACACGTGGAGAAGATGTGGAGGTATTAAAAACTTAAGTGACCAAGTCTAAAATACCAGGTCTTTCTTAAACAGCTGGTAAATTATTCAACTAACACATAAGTTACCTGCATATACAAAAATATGAAATTGATCTCTTTGCTCAAAAAGTTATAAGAGTTAATAATGTGCTAAGCCAGACACCATCATCATAATCTTTCTTTTAAATACAATGTTTTGTCAATCTGATAAAAGTCAAGATGAGCATGCAATTAATGATTCTAATGTTATCCAACTTTTGGGACCTTTAAATTAAATTTCCTTCATGACGTAGGCGTACAAAAATAACGTATAAATACTCAACTTATTCAGAAAACAAGGTGGTTGGTGTTCACCTTGGAGGAGCGAGGAATTTATTTTGTGTATGGAAATGAGTTTTTGTCTGTTTCTGTGCATGATGTTGAAGAATAAACTGTAACTAATTGTTTGTCTTTTCCTTTTTAAAGAATCGTGTTTCCAGAGCATCCAATGCAAGTGAAGAACTCAGAAAAGGAAAGTGTAGCACAGAAGATTCATAATAAATTCAAACTACTACTACTATTACTACTACTACTATGGCGTAACAGCCCAAAATCGAGCCCTAGCCTCCTCAATAAATTCAAACTAGCACTGGCCAAAGTAGCCAAGTCCAAAATTACGGTTTGCAGAGCATTGAACCATAATTTATTTTGCAAAACACAAGGGAATTACGCTTTGATCTTCTTACCGTGTTGGTCGGCAAATTAATAGCTCTTGACAAACATATAAATGATTCCATGACCAAAGCCCACATGAAAATTCCGCAAAGAAAGAATCCCACAGTCATAAATGCTCACATGAAAAACGCTCACACTGAAAAATGCTCACACGGATAAATCCTTACAAGGATAAATGCTCACACGAACGAATTCTCACACAGAAAAATGCGCACATAGAAAATATCTCACATTCACCTATCCTTGGTCCACGTTGGCCAAATTTGAATTTGTAAACTACAAATAATGTGAGAATTATTCTATGTTCGTATTTTTCTGTTTGAGCATTCGTCCGTGTGAGCATTTATCCGTGTAAGCATTTTTCCGTGTGGGCAATTATCCGTGTGGGTATTTCTCATGTGAGCATTTATGACAGTGTGTTCCTTTCTGTGCGGAATTTTCGTGTGGGCTTTCTTCACGTGCGCATTTATCTTTTCACCCACAGAAATATGTTACTTCTTCTGGTGATGTGTACAGAAATGTAAAGTGACTTATTTAAAATACTTTGACTTGTACTGCAATAAAGCATAGGTAACATAAGTAACATTTTTCCATTGATGTCATTTTCAGGAGCAAGAACAAGCAGAATGTTTTGATTTTGCTACAGACCAATGTTTCACAGACTTGTTTGTTCACAGAATATCAAACCACAACTAACATTGCAGATATAAAATGAACATGGATAAAGGCAAGGGGAAGAAAACAACTTTCTGTAGCATACTTAGAAATTCTGAAAAGAAACGTTAAACATTTATTACTGCAAACTTTTCCACTATTAACAATAAACGTAATGTAAGATAGCTGGATTTTCATGAGATGCCAACGATTTGACAACTGAAGACACTCTCATCCTAAAAGATAAGAGTGAAAATAAATTCATCAGACGAATGAATTGCACGGAAGAAGCGGGAAAAGAGATCGAGGTCGACCACGAAGAACATGGAAAGATAAATTTGAAGCCAGAACCGGTATTAGTGCCTAATCCTTGACTATGATGATGACAAGAAAACGTGTCAGTGGAACCACGGTTCTAGAGAATTTGACGTAAATACGTTTATACGGAAAAGAAGTTTATATTTTGGCTTTATTCTAAATATTTCCTTTGTACATGTTTTACAATTGAGATAAGTTTGTTTAAGACATTGCTTATTTAACTCGAATTAGTTACGCTGTGGTAGCTGAATGTAATGTAAAGTAATGTAATGTAAGGTAATGTAAGGTAAGGTAAGGTAATGTAATGAAATGTTTTATAGGTAACAACAATGCTAAGTAAACAGATGACGTTTCCTAGGTAACAGTAATGCCGAGCAAACAATTGACGTTTGCTAGGTAACAATAATACCGAGTAAACAATTGACGTTTCCAAGGTAACATAACAATGCAGTTACACTTTTTCGTTTCACTTTTTGCCGAATGACACTGACCCTAAAATATAGACGTATTTACGTCAAAAACAAAAACCCTTTCAAGAATTTCATAAATAAAATTACAATAATGAACTCATGTGAAAAATATTTCTGTCTGTCCATCATCTCACCTTTATGACATAATGTAATGGAATTTGATATGATATAATATATTGACAGAGCATGAATATTGTCCAATGGGGATGTGTTTTTTGTTCATCTGAAGAACTTATTTAAGGGTTCCCAAAATTTTCAAAACTGGGACCACATTCATCCCTTGTAATTGATTTATTGGCTGCAACTTTATAAAAGATTATAACTCATTGAAATGCCATAGCAAATTATTATTAAATATGTTTCTAAATTAGCCCTACTATTGCAGACAGTTTCACATATTACTCAGTAATTTACTTTAGCAAATTGGGTAATTGGCAAGACAATGAAACTGAATCTCATCTGGGACAGAGCATAAAATGTGTTTGTCTTATGCAAGTCAGAACTTACTAGTTACTTTGTTTTGTCATATTCTAAACACTTAAATGTGTGTATACAGAAGTTTAAGGAAATCAACTGAATAATATAGTTGAAGATGTGCATAAAATATTAAACTCCATGGAGCAGTCTTTTCATTAAGCTGATAGTAGGCTGCTAAGTTGGTTAAAATTTTGACCCTCTGTAACTCTTCTTAACAAACAGATGATTAATTTTTATTAAACTTGTCTGAATTCTATAATGAAGACTTTCATCACCATGTTTCCACATAACATAATCTGTTTATCTTATAAACATCAACAGGTTGCAATATATCTTAATTTAATCACTTACTTTTTTATGCCGATATCTAGCCCCACAACTGAGACATAATGACCATGTAGAAGAGAAACTTCTCAGATGTATTCAAGCTCAGTATTTGATATAATATTTTGGTCGCATTAAATTATCAGACGTGTCTTTCGAATATACATATTCCAAATTAAAATTATTGGTTAATGAAGTTTATTTTAATTTCATATAGTAAAATATATTTTATTATTCAGGCTTGAAACAAAAAAGATAATAAACACACATATGTTGGCCATTTTTGTCATATCAGGCTCTACCAAAAATATTATTATGAAACTGTTATATTTGCAGGTGTGTCATTACTTAAGTGTTATAAGAATACAGAAAGGTAATTAGTGACATTATGAATGATGGACATGTGTAATTTGTGGTAGACAAAGTAGCACTGTGATCGACTCTTCTGAGAGGTTTTTGGTTTTCCCCTGTCAATATCAAATTCGCTTTATTGCTGTATATTATTATGACAATTAAGTGATGACAAAACTGCAGTTTTGATCTGTTTCATAACATTATTTTGTATAAACTGTAAATAGAAAAAATGGATGAAATATATAGCAGATTTATTAAATCATTGTTTTTTTTTCTATCTTCTTCCAGATCAAATAATAAAATATCTTTTCCTGTGTGAGAAAGTAATTATTATTCTGAAAGATTATATAAACTCAGTATACCAACGACTTATTTGTTAAGAGGCCTTTGTGTGAGGTTATGTACGACAGAAAAAGTGAACGCCCGCCATTTTTGAGTTCTTGTATACACGAGTATCCGCTAGAGAACTCCCATGTAACGCTCTACATGGAACATAGCCTTCATTCGGAAGTTATACTTGGTTCCAGCATTTTCTGCCCCTGCGTTTTGTGAATTGAAACCTCGGATCTGTTTACTTAACAGAAGTTTCCAGGAACGGATGGCAGGAGTTCGCGTACAGCACACTCCAAATAAAATATTACCACGGTATGTAACACAGGAAAGTCGATTTCACTACACTACACATCACTAGAAAATTAACACTGCAGAGAGTATTAGATAATTTTATATTCTTCACAACTGTTGGTCCTCTTCTAATTCTTCCACTCCTCACAGACCATCGCTTTCTGACATATAACTCGATTCATCACTGTTCACCCCATTATCTTCAATTATAATGCGTTCAATAGCGACTTCGATTATACCTTCTTGCTCGTAATAAATTTATACTAGTTTTTCCACAATCCGACATACATTCTCCCATTACTAGTATCGTGAGGGTTGGTGCGTAATCATTAAACATTCACATGCCAGCAACGCCTAATGGAAGATCTCGTTGAATCTAGAGGACCCTACTTCTCTAATGTTGACTACCGGAGGAATTCTGTAGCCACCTTCGTCCTTAACGGAGGATAGCAGCTGGTTGTATTTAAGTTAGAGTAATTCTCTTGTTATTTTCAACTACCAACAATGTGTAAATATGGACCGATAATAATTATCCGTGACGTAACAGCCATCTGAGAGCCAATGGTCAGCTTTTATGTGAACACCTGCTTCTACAACAATGTTTGAAAAAGTATTCGAATTTCTAACCGACGTCTGCAAGAATGTTGGTTGAGCATGCCATAGGGCTTTTTTCTCATTTCTTATACATGCAGGTTCATAAAGGTTCAAGGAGAAAGGATAGCAATGTTAAGGTTCGCCGATGATATTGCCCTTTTGGCTGAAAGGAAGGAAGATGCAGAGATATTATTGGATGGTATGAATAGATTACTTAGTGAGCAATTCGGCTTAAGGATAAACAAAAGCAAGACAAAAGTTATCAGGAGCAGCAGAAATGAGAATAATGACCCATTAAGTAACAAAATTGGGAAAGACGCAGTAGAAAAAGTGAAGAAATTCTGTTATTTAGGAAGCAAAATCACTAAAGATGGACGAAGCAAGGAAGACTTTAAAAGCAGATTAGCATAAGCGAAAAGAGAAGTCAAACATTGACCTGGAATTAAGAAAGATTATTCTGAAGTTATATGTTTGGAGCACGGAAGCGAAACAGGGTCAGTGGGAAAGCCAGAAAGAAGGAGGGTAGAAGCATTTGAAATGTTGAAAATTAAGTGGACTGATAAAGTACGAAATGCGCTGGTCTTAGACAGGACAGGCGAAGGAAGAAGTCTATGGAAAAATCTTACGATGGTGGGACACATTCTGAGGCACCCAGGATTGGTTAATTTGGTAATAGAAGGAACTGTTGAAGGGAAGAATTGTAGGAGGAGACAAATATTGGAATATGTGACGCAGATTTTTGAGAATGTGAGCTGTAAAAAATATGTGGAAACGAAGAGACTGGCGCAAGATAGACGAAAATAGAGGACCACATCAAACCAGTCGGAAGACTGATGACAAACAAACTTCCATGCAGTATAATAGCCTGAATGAATCGTATTGCACTCCATTCCTTTACTAATTGTTACGTCATCTGTTTACTCGGCATTGTTGTATTTTATTATTGCCGTCAACAATCCGCTTTCGTCAGTGCGGAAGGAACTGAGCTGGGAATCGCTTGTAGAAGAAGTGTATCGTAAAAGAGACTCTTTTGTTCTGTTAAAAACCTTTCACAATAGCACAAGTACTTTTATTTTATAAGAATTGAAAAAAGTTTGAGGTAAGGGATTCCTATTTATTATTATCGTTGTTCATCGCATTCACATGTTTTCTTCTGCATTTGTGAACTCGTGTACGAGAATTAGCCTTGTCTTCTTTCTAACTCAGTCTTAAGTAATATTAGATTGACTTCTGTTTGTTCACGGTATCATTCATGGTAAAATAATATTTCAGTAGGCAATTGACATTTCACAATTTTAAAGGAATAAAACGTGTTTCGTAGCCCAGAATCTTAATAAAAATATGTGGATGATAAGAATTGGGGTTTATATTCTGAATAATAATTCTAATATTTTACATCTCTTGATACATCGACATTATTAAAGCATTCTAGGGAACTATGAAGAATTTTTGAAGTAAATACGTCTATATTTTAGAGTCAGTGTCATTCGGCAAAAAGTGAAACGAAAAAGTGGAACGAAAAGTGTAACTTCATTGTTACCTAGGAAACGTCATCTGTTTATCAACAAATAAACAACAATGGTTACCTAAGGAACATCTATTTACTTGGTGTTTTTGTTACCAAGGAAACGTCATCTGTTTACTCGACATTGTTGTTACCTATAAAACATTTCATAACATTACCTTACATTACATTACCTTACATTACATTCCATTTCATTACATTACTTTATATTACATTACTTTACATTACATTACATTACCTTACCTTACCTTACCTTACCTTACCTTGCATTACATTTCATTACATTACATTCAGCTACCACAGACCCATCTTAAGCGTAACTAATTCAAGTTAAATAATCAATGTCTTAATCAAACTTATCTCGATTTTATAGCATGTATAAAGGAAGTATTTAGAATAAAGCCAATATATAAACTTCCTTTCCGTATAGACGTATTTACGTCAAATTCTCCGGAACCGTGGTTCCACTGACAACTTTTTATTTCGGATTTACAAGCCTAATTAACGACGAATCTCCCTCTTATTATCTCCATACAACAGCAGATTAAATCCGTGAAATACTTGCTATTATTGAGTGCAAAGTATTTATGGGTGTAAAACGTGGTCTTTCACTTTGAGGGAGAGAACAGAGTGTTGAGGAAGATATTTGGACCCGAAACGGGAGAAAATTGCACGACGAGCTCCTCACCCGATGTTGTTAGGCTGAGTTGGGCAGGGGAGGGCTCTTTACAAGTTATTGGTTGGGAGGCCTGAAGAGAGGAGATCGCTGGGAAGACCTAGACGTAGATGGGAGGATAATCTCAGGCGGGATCTATGGGAGATAGGAATTGAAGGAGACTGGATTTTGTTGGCCTAGGGCAGGGTCCGGTGAAAGGCTTTGGTTAGTTCGGTGATGAACCTTCAGGTTCCGTAAGCCGTCTAGGTAGTTAGTTAATCAGTCACATTTAGAGACTTGTCATTTTGTATTGAATCTCAACAGGCATTTCTATAACAAAGAAACAAACTGAGTCCATGGTGCAGAAGGCCTACTTAAGAATCTAACAGTAGCCCAGGTAATCAAACGTCTCGCCTTTTATGAAACATGAAGTTTCATGTCCGTGTTGGCAAGACCCAGCCTGTAAACCACATCCACAAGCAGATGAAATCAATCCACACCTTAATTCCCCACCTCTCTAAGACCCATTTTAATATTATCCCAGCAACTCATTGACTCTCAAGTGACCTTTATGTTTCAGGTCTTCCTATTAAAAAGTTGCACTTCTTGTCTCTGCAATGTGTACTACATGTCCCGCCCATCTCATCTCCCATGATCTGACATCCTACAATTAATTAATTAATTAGTGAAGAGATCTATAAAGCTCCATATTACGCAATTTTCACCATTCCCTTGTCAGTAACTCTCTCGCAATATCAAATTTTCTTCTCAGTACCGTGTTCCCTCTCAGTCACTCTCAGTTGCTGTGCACACGCGTCAGTATGAAGAAAAACCTGTAACAGCGATGAACTGTTTTTCAGGAAATGGAGTCAAACCAAAGTTTTCAAGTCGGCATGCGCACCGAAGTATCGGTCGCTCTGAAACAGCTGAGAGGGAGGAACCGGTTATATGACGACTCAGAAATGATGACGAAGGAAGACAAGCAATTCGTGACACCAAGGATTGCCTACCCGCGAATCCCACAGGACATTCTGTTTGCTATTGGTGGGTTTCGTGGCGGAAAGCCGTCAGATGTGATCGAGGCGTACGACGCACGAGCAGAGCGATGGAGTGTGGTGAGTTGCACGCATTTCTACTCTTACCGTGCCTTCTTAAATGACGCCTCCGAGAAAAACTACTTTTGCACCCTTTTGCTTATTTATACCAAGTAATTGTTTATTTAAGTTTAATCACATGCACCTCCTTGCCTCTTTATTTCTTGTTCGTTTATTTCCATTGCAGTGAAGCTCCAAATACATGAATTAAAAAGAATAAATAAATAAATTACATAAATGCTGAGTCTCATGTACAATGCAAGTTCTAATAGGAATCGATGAAGGATATGAAATTTGCCTTAAATACCGTTTACTTTAACTGTCATGCAAACCTGTCTGCTGATTTTATACATGAAACGAAATCATCGTTGATCGTCAGTGGATTTCAACGTAATAAATGAAGTATTGATCAGTGTCGATGTTGGCCATCTGCGTGGTAACGCCGCGAGAATTAGAAGGGACACTGTTTGGGGTGCGGTGGGGGACGTACTGCCTCCAGCTTTGCGTCGATAGAACCAAAAATCCCAACATCTGCCTTTACCAACGTACGAACCTGAAATGTCAGCTGTTGATCAAAAATCTTACATTTGTCTGTCGTACTTGACGAGAGCACTGGCAATGTTTGAGCTTCTCTTTGGGTCTTCCTGTTTCCTCCGCCTCTTATAATTCCACCATTGCTCCAAGTTAATTCTCACGGTTTTGTCGAGTGCCACCCACCACGGTGTAGCAATTTCGGTTCACTGTTGGGGGTTGCTCCTCTGCTCCA